CTTAATTATGCAGAACTTTAAGGCTTAATATAATTTAAACGGATGAGTTATAAAAAAATTCACCCCCCTCACAGTTGTCATGAAGGGCAAAATTAGCTATATTGACCATTTTTTGAACCAGGCTGTAAACATGTTTTTTCTGCTGTAAAGTTGGGCATTTTAAGATGGGGAGTCTATGGGATTGACTCCCTTTTGCAGCCAGCCTCTAGCGGCCAGTTGACGAATTACAGTTTAAGTCACTTCCGTGTTGGTTTCACGAGAGCGACTGAAAGGTTGCCACTCGGCTAAGACAGTCTTCACCCACACTCTGAAAAAAACATCTCAAGCTCTGGAGGCTGTCAGATATTACCATAGTAACAAATGTCACAGAGGTCACAGTTATTTTCCATTTAGTGAATCAATCGTGTATACATCTGGCCGATGGACTATACTTGTCTTGTACTTTTAAAGGAATGGTTCACCCAAAAATGAAAACTCTGTCATTATTTTCTCACCTTCATATCGCTCCAAACCTTTTACTTTTTTTTTTCTCCAGAACTAAAAAGAAGATATATTGAAGAATGTTGGTAACCAAACAGTTTTGATTTACTTCCATTGTTCCACCAAAGAAAGTCATTCAGGTTTGGAATGACATGAGGGTGAACATTCTTGGTGAACTATCCCTTTTATATATAAAATTCTGTCATGAACAACTAAAAGTCTTGCATTAATGATAATTAGTTATATGGATTATATCTATACTTTTAATTTATTAATGCTCTTTATTGATGTGTGCTGCTGAAGAATGATTGTTTTGGTGTGTATGTGTGTCTTCTTTTTAGAGCTGACAATGGTTTTGATGACTTTAATGACAAAGGAGATGGTATGTGTTAAGCATCATAATGTACAGCTTATTTATCTCAGGTTAAATATAACAAACATTTGCCAGGTTAGTAGTTTTATGTTTCAGATTTCTCTGTGATTTTTTTTCAGCAGATCTGAGCAGCAGAGAATCAAGCGTCTTTTGCACAGCCAGTTATAGTCCAGCCAGAGATCGACATCGAGGTGAGTGAGGTTTGCTTTGTAATCACCATTTCTAAGTGCAGCTATGAACATACAATAAAAAAGTTTAAACAAAAGTTTGTTTTCCCCTCCTTACTCTAACCTTTACCAGATTTCCATGACGGTTTTCATGTGTGGTATAACAGCAACTTTTGTTTTCTCCGTTTTTTGCGTGTCAGACACTCTGTCTAGACACTCTAACAGTGAATCTTTGTACGTTGTTACTGTCTGTGTCAGTATACAGTTATTTATCGATCATGTCTTCTGATTGCTTTCTTTAATCAGTGATTCCATTTGTTTCAGTTTATTCTTATACCCAGGATTCCTGTCTGTCACTATTGCAACAAATGCAGAGCTGTAGTGTTTTTCAGAGCAACCCAGGCTATACCCAGATAACTCAAGAATATAAAATTAAACTTTTAACTCATTGATTGCCTATTGTCTATTTAATACTAGCTAAAAAGAAATCTTATAATGTGGATTTTCATCATACCTGCATACTCACACAATACAATTCGCTTGTTAAAATTTCCACCAACATCTCACTGTCCAGATAACCACTTGCTTGTGGCTATTTGCAGTGTGTCGATTTGCAGCTGTTTAAAGTAACTGAACCTGGTGTTTACAACAATAGCATCACCATCTCAGTATGTGGTCTGTGGTCAACCCTTTACAATAAATTGATAAGACACATTATTATTTCTTTACCAGAGGCTTTAGAGGAATAGACCACAGAAAAATGAAAATTCTGTTATCATTTGATGTTGTTCCAAGCCTGTATGACTTTCTTTCTTTTGTGGAACACAGAGGAAGATATTCTGAAGAATGCTGGTAACCAAACGGTTTGGTAAACAAGCAATACCACTGAATTAAATTCAATGGATAAAAACATTTTGAGACAGAAAGAAAGTCGTACAAGTTTGGACCGACATGAAGGTGAGTAAATGAAGACAGTATTTTCATTTTTGGGTGAATGTGTTACCAGACAATTCCTTTAATTGTGAACTGTTAAGCCTTTAAACTATATAAAAATATGATTAAAAAATATATTTAAAGATGTAGATTTTTTTAATTAGTTATCATGCTGACAGTATATCACATCTTTTTGTAAATTATCCAAACAATGTAAATGTGTCAAATAAAACACTGTATTCAGTAACCAACAATGATTTAACCTATGCTTCATTATATATAATATTAAAAACAAGATGTGTATTTGTTGATATTGTTATTCTTTTCATCTGTCTACCTGAACAGCTCATTGAAGCTTCAGCATCAACTTAGGTAATGTGCATGTGACTTGTTAACTTGTTCATTTCACCAATTCACCGTGTTGCATGTAACATGCATCCTGTATCATGACCCATAATATTATGATATCTAGATCAACCATGCAGAAGCTAGTCATGTTCATGCTCATTAGTTTTAAGAAAACAATAAGCTTAGTTTATACTATATATTATGTTTATAAAAGCATAAAATTTTAGTTTAGTCAGTTCAGTTTAGTTTAGTCTTATTTTATGTTGGCAGTTCCTGATATATCCAACTTGAGACAAAAACTGCTGTGAATTTTTAACAAGATGTTGGGCTGTTTTATTGGGATCCTTGGGCTATTTTCCTATAGACTGTTTTGGCAAGGAGACATTGGGAGGGGAAAAAAACTGTATAACTGAAGTAAACTCACAAAACTGTCAAAGTTGTATAAAAAACAGTTAAAAATAAACAGTATAAATTGTATTTCTGTGTATGTTCTATGTAAATATTGTCAGTATCATAGCATGTTTACCCTGAGATTTTCCCTGCACAACTTTAAACAGACAAAATTCATAGTTAAACAGCATTCCCCTAACATTTTCAGCATCACTTTTCTCATCGTTGTTTTTAATTCTTGTGTAATTTTGTCACAAGATTTTGTCACATCACATTTAGAATTATCTTTCTATCTCCCCTCATTGGCACAGGCTTCTGGGAAAAGAGTCAGAGGGAACTGGAACAAACTTCATGCTAACACAAATCACTTTCCTGCACTTTATAATGCACTTGGCATTATATGTAGTTTTATTTATAGGTAGTAACTATTTATTTATTCATTCACTTATTTACTTTTTTTTGTGTGAAAATTCTGTGAAATTAATTTTATATATATCTTACTATTCCTAAAAATATTTTTTCTTTTATTTTTACCTACAACTATTAGTGTTGATAATTAAACGGATACTGTCTAAAAGCAGCATTTATTTAACATTAATAGAAAACTATTTATACTAATATCAGTAGATAATTTGTGCTTATAATCAGTGCTGGTGTCAATAATAATATGCATTAGCAAATCCAATTTCTCTTGATTCTCCAACTAGTTGCAATCAAGAAATGATTACAGCAGTGCATATTGAATATCAAATTTGTGCCATTCATCTTACACTTTTTGTTAGTTGGTAGTAAGTCAATTTCATAAATGCAAAACAAAGTGTTTACAGTTTACATTCTTGATTCTTTGGAATCCAAGCTTTTTTGTTGTTGTTACTTTCCTCTCTGTTGCAGACTGCCAAGAATTCGTCCAGTTCTCCAGAGTCCACCAGAACCTCCTCCACAGCAGGATGTCCTCAGTCCACTTCAGATACTCCCCTTGGAGAACCACTTGCACTAGAGTCGATGTCATCCAATAATTTACCACAAACAGAAGAGTCTGGAGTTCAGCCGTCAACTCTATCCGTCCCCCAGTCACGTTCAACACAGCAGCTCTCTGAGCCACAAGATCAATTCTATAATGTTGGCCCTTCCTTGTCCTTTCCCCTTCCTGCAGTCCTCGTACACCATTATGATCACCCAGAGACAGCTAAGGATGAATTTGAGGATTCCAGTAAACCTGACCAATCCCTTCATCCACAAAAGGATGATTTTCACATTGAGATGTTAGCGCAAGTGCCTTTTGAGTTAGGCCAACCATCACTGGCTGGGCTTCCAGACATGCCACAAATCCAGGAAGATGGTATGAAGAATGTTAAGGAGAAGGAAGGAAGATTGGATATTGGTCTATAGTTGCTCAATATGGTGTTATCAAGATTGCTCTTTTTCAGAAGGGGTTTAACAACTGCAGTTTTCAGGGAGTTTGGAAAAGTCCCAGAAAGAAGTGAGGCGTTCACCACTTCTAAGAGATCTGCTTCTAATCAGTTAAGCACCCTTTTGAAAAAATATGTGGGAAGTGTGTCAAGATAGCAGGTTGACGATTTATGGTGCTGTACTATTTCTTCCAAAATGTTGCTATCAATCTCTTCAAAAGCAGACATAGTATCTTCTTTTTGATATTGCGGTCGAATCTGTCTGACCTTTGCATAACTTGGGGATGTGCTAATCGCCTTCCTGATATTATTGATCTTCTCAGAAAAGAAGGAAGCAAACTCATTGCATTTGCTGTCGGAGAGCATTTCACTGGCAATCTGACTTGAGGGGTTTGTCAGTCTCTCAACAGTAGCAAAAAGAATGCGAGTGTTGTTTAAGTTACTGTTTATAAGGTTT